TATATATGTCTAAACCCTACAACCCAGCAATCCCAAGCCACGCACCTTAGATCGTATAATCCGCAGGCACTCATGACTGACAGCACTTGCTTGACTACTACGGGCGAGAGTACCGTTTCACCTGTGGGAGTGGAGCAGGAGAAACCGTAAATTGATGAACACGTAGTAAGCTAAACAATAACACGGGCTGAACGGAAGTATGAGAAAACGTACATCGGTGAATAGGTAGTATGAGCAACATTACCGTGGGTCCAATTGAGATATGAAAAACCGTAAATCGGTGAAAACGTAGTTGCCCGTAAGACGAATTAAACACGAGTGACCGCAAGTGTATAGGCATATCAAACAAGAAACACTGAAACGAATCAGAGCGACAGATAGTAATACAGTTACCACTCCTACAATTGAAATGGCAGATGCCTGTGCGGGCTATACTACCCGTACTAGCACTCAAAGGTGCTATGACCACCGTTTGCACTACTGACAGAACTGATATATATCTATGTACAGCGCATTTGTAATTATTTATAGCACGCATGTCTATTTATAGCACGCATGTCTATTTATAGCACGCACGACTATTTATAGCACGCATGCCTATATATAGCACACACGTCTTTTTATAGCAGCATCTAAGTGTAAATGGGCGGACGCTTCCAATGACCCAACACTACTCGCATCCCAGAGATTTTAAGAGCAACTTTGTTCTATAAATAGCACATGCGTATCAATTTAGAACGCATCTATAACTATTTATAGGACACATGCCTATTTATAGCAGACATTTGTAAATGTAAATGTACCTACATTAGCTGAACTATCCGTAACTCTGAGGTTCGACATCCACTGCCACACAGTTCATTCGCTAACACATCACAGACAATCCTGTTGTCGACATATGGCACAAATAAACTGGTTTATCCATATATAGCACAAATTCATCTGCTTATCTATTCATAGAACAAATAGACTAGATTATCTATTTATAACACAAAACACCCCTTTTATCTATTAAAACCATAAAACCACCTATTGGTCTATATATAGCATATACCTATTTATAGCACATATCTATTTATAGAACAAGTATACCTCCCATTATCTTCCATCTACCACCCACACACACCTGTAAGTGGACAGACACCACCATTGGCCAGACTTCCCGCAATGACTCCGAGAGTCTCCACATCCAATTCCAGCGAACACATTTGATAGTACAGTCTCAGCGCTTCCATGGGCTGGTCAGCGTCTGTGAGGTTGCCGCTGTCACACATCATGTACATCAGGCACTTGTTGCGCACCCCCATCTTAGCCTCTGTATGCATGGGCGTATGTGTATCAGATATTGAGTATGTGTGCTCATGTGTATGGTGTGGTGGATCCTGTGTGTGCTTGTGCAAGTA